TAGCCATTGGATTCTTGATCTTTGCTTCCAAGCTAATTCTTCCTTCCTTGTCATATCTTCAAATTCCATGCCCAGATGTGTCTTTTGCAGCAATTCATCATCTGTGAGGGGCCTATGTTCCTGAATTGTTTCCCAATTAGAAATTTGATTGAGAATATCTTCCTTCCTTTGTTTCCAGTTCCCCTTATTATTTTTGCTCCACTCTTTAAGCTTTACTTTCAACATTTTTAACTTTTCAGCCAAAATATAACCTGGTCTTCCAGTCACACTAAATGACTCCCACCAATCTTTCACCTTCTCTTTGAAACCCTCCACCTCTAACCACCATGTTTCAAATTTAAAATAAGCCTTTTTCCACCCTTCATCTCCACAGGACAACACAATAGGATTATGATCTGAAGCAATTTTGGGGAAACTACTTTGAATTATCTATGTAAAATTCTCTCCCCACTCTGCACAATGTAGGAGTCTGTCAATTCTAGAAGCACAATTATTATTCTCTCCCTTTCTCCAGGTGAAAGAGCCTCCACATAAAGGAGGATCAACCATCTCCATTTCTTCAATGAAGGATGAGAATTTTGACATAGCACCAGTCAGTCTATGACAATTTTTTCTCTCTGACGGATATCTAGTGACATTGAAGGCACCACACACTACCCAAGGCCCGTTAATGTTATGCTTCAGCTCTAAAAGTTCTTGCCATAGCACTCACCTATTTATTCTGTTGCAGTCTGAGATACCAGCTGAAATCATCATTTACTCCTGAAAACTTTCCAGTTATACTTTGGTTTCCATTCAGAAACAACTCCCCCCTCCAGATTCTCCTATCCCATAGTATTAAGAACCCCCCACTACTCCCTTGAGCCTCCTTCATTAACACCCTGAGGGGCCTTCTAAATTTTCTTTTTGGAAATCGTGCCTGAGAGCATTTTTTCCCTATTAAAAATAGTATTATCCCAGAAGTGAACTCTTTAACTTCTTAATGTTGAATGCCTCACACCCTAAATAATCTCATACTTTTACATATTTATCCTCAACCTTGATATTGTCTGGAACCATAGTATTCCATTCTTAGGTGGGTGAACGAATGCACCTTTCTATATTCTGTAACATAAAACCAATAGATTATCTGCAAATAGCAACTCACATATCAATCTTTCCCACCGTTCTAGATGTACAACATCTAATATAGTCCTCATCACCAATGTATATGTCATCCTAATAAATGTATCTCATGTCCATTATGAACAACACCACAACAGGTATAAAAGGTCCCCTTGACATATGCCTATTGGTCTTCAGACAAAGTTTGTAGCTTCCAAAAAATGACCAAATTGAGAATACAACTGATATTCTCCAATCTCTTTTGAAACCATTCTATTCATCTTTCTCTAATAATGTTTCTCCATCCTAGTGCGGATAGAATTAATTGTCATTGTAGTGCGTCTTTTTTACTTCAGCTCATAGAGTAGTTCTACCTCCTCACTTTTATCATGTAATTGATTCACTCGCTAGCAATCAGAGTCATATCAAATGTCTATCTTCCTTCAACAAGCAGTTTTAGATGAGGTATTGTGACCTCTAGCACTTCCTTAGGTTTAAAGAAGGTACTTCTTTGAAAAAGTTAAAAAGTCTTCTGTTGGACTTGTAGGCCTAAATTCAATTGACATTCAGCCCGCATTCTTCTTCGACTAATCACAACAATGGATTAAGTAAGACTCCTCCTGAATTCGTAGAGTGAATATAATTTAGCTTAGCCCATTGACAATGCTCACCTCCATTTTGTTCAACATAGATAAAAGAATGTTGTTGTGAATCCATCCTGACTCAGAGCTTTATCTCCCCACACAACTTATGATTGCATGTCTGCCTCCCTATCCCCTCCTCCAAAACATCCAATATCAGCCACATCTCTCCCCTAGGTTACTAAAATCAATTCCCTCCAATCTTGTTGTCCAACCTACATCATGTGTATGCAATCATGTAAGGATTCCCTTAATAACCCCTCATTCCTCTCCTTTAACCCTTACCCCCTGATTCATCAACCCTATTGTATTCACAAATTTACTCATTTTATCACCAATAGCTTAACTGATGAAGGAATTATGTTATGATCTAATTTTTCAACCATAGCACCCTTGATTATTGTTTACAACTAATCACTCTAGTGTTTATCATTTTTTTAAGAAGGTAACAACTTGTATTCTATTCCAAAAAAAATAAGAACCTGCCACAACACAACAAAGTACAGGTTCTTAATTACAATTGCGGAGAGAAGCAAGAAGATCTTCGATCCTATAGCAAAATTTACAAGGAACCTAAAACATTGTAACTGATTCTGGATCTTCCATGTACTCCTGTTTACACCAAAAAAGAAACAAAACTAAGCAGTTCATCGTAATCTTCCGGATGGAATTACTCTTTTTTTATGACAAGGGAAACCCGCAGCCGCTATCCTTTGGGTGCGCACAGGGTAAAACCCCCGCTTTTATGCAATAGCTCGCAAACCACATAGGAGAGGTAACCCGCACTAGGCAAGCTTGGTGCGACGAGCTCGACCCAGAAGGCAAACCCCTTGCTTTCGCTGGCAAGGGGTTTCGAACTTGAGACCTCCAACATGGAAGTCCCAAGTTCAAACTACTGGGCCACCCTGAAGGGTCCGGATGGTATTACTCTTGTTTTGGAAGCATCTGAGATTTCTTTCTTTCCACACAAACCACCAAATGCAAGCCGGAATGATTTTCCATCTCTCTTTACGCCAAATAATGCTTGCATCACTGCTCCAAATCCTCAAAGTCTGGGTAACTCTCCTAGGCATAACCCAGTTCATACCCAACATTCCACAAAATGTCGGTTATCCTACGGTGAAGGAAGAGATGGGTGACAGTCTCTACTTCTTCACCACATAGGAAGCACCTAGGACTCAGATGAATATTTCTTTTCATATCAACTTCCATGGCCACCCATTCCTCTGACTGTTACAAGGATTAAACTTCTTGTAGGCTCTTTTGACACTGAAATTGTCTTGAATGTGATCCTGCCATCCCAAACTATCATGTGCATCAGTAGTTCCTTTGAACTGCCCCACGACCTTGTAAAACTCCACCAACCTATGGATCTCCCAGTCATTTAGATATCTTCTAAAACTTAGATTCCACCCTTGGCTTGACCATATCTCTGCCACAGTGGCCCTTTGCTACTGGTTTAGCCTGAAAATATCTGGGAACAAAGTTTTTAAAGATCCTTGTTCTAGCCATCTATCTTCCCCGAAAGAGGTTTTCCTACCATTACCCAATTTAATATTGCAGTTTCCTCTGAGCTTTGACCAATGGTTTCTGATGGCTCTCCAAAGTCTTGATCCGTAAATGCCGGTGACCATTTTAGTTATCCAGTGATCATCCATTTCATATTTGGCATGTATTACATCTTTCCACGGAGGAGCTTGCTCACTGGAGGCAAATCTCCACAACCACTTCATCATACAGCACTGGTTCTAGATTTTTAAATTCTTTCATCCCCATCCCCCCTACTGAGTGTTTATCATGTTAGCTAGTTTTTCCTTTCCCTCGTCTTTCTCTTTTTCCCATCCTACAAACCCTTCCTTTTCTACTAAACTCTATAATTCCATTCATCAACTCCCCCAACTTTATTTCTAACTCTTTCAAACGCCTTCCTAAACTTGATTCTTAAACTGTTCTCAAATAGCTTTAAAACAAAAAGGAATCTCTTGGACATGGAATTTTGGTTTCTCCAATTCCAACTATCTCCCCAAAGTCGCTTGTGACTACATGTTTTTAAACTCATTATTATGTTGGGAATATCAATATAGAATATAGAGAAAAGGAATTGGAACTTGGGTAGCAACAACTTCCAAGAAATTGACATAAGAAATGTGTTAAGTCTCAACCTTAATCTTCACAGAGTGAACATTCGCTCCTAGATTCTTTTGCTCTTATTAATTGAATAAAAGACAAATAGCAAGTATTCAACCGTTGTGATTAATGATATATTTCCCCTTGTTTGTTTTTGAGTAAGGATGCTAAGTGGACCTCGACTAATATAGGGGCAACCTGGTAAAACTCACAAGCATCGATAGACTGTAAACTTACCCTCCAAAACTAGGAATGATTCGCACTGTGTGTTGTTGCTGGAATTCAAGGTTCAGATACCAATGTATTGCTCCTACGCCTCAACCATTAAACCATCCATTCCATCAAGAAAAACATTGATGGTTTACCTTTTGGCTTTCATGTTCAAAACATCAATGTTTACCAAATTAATCTAGACATTAGCTTTCTCTTGGTTTCCCTCCCATATACTAGGGCTGCAACATGATCTTAAGCACTCTCTTTGTACCAGTTTATGTGGCATACTTTCTTTTATAGTTTGTCTCAAGAAAATGTCACATAACTACTTAGACTTATCATCCCCAGTTTACCTTTAAAAAAAAGTTCACCTTCCACGAGGGAGAAATTTGAAAGATCATGTAGAACTCTCACTACCTCTAATTTAATTGTTGATATTTAGCATACGTGTCAAAAACCTCTTATGTTTTCTTGAACCACAGGTGCAAGGAAAAACCGCCACATAAAATGGGATATATGAAGTAAAACCACTTCCTGCACATCAATCATTTATAGAACACCCTGATCATAGCCTTCACAATCTCAATGATGATTACCCAAATAAATCAGCGAGAGAAATAGAGAGGGGAGAGAGACAGCATTTGACAATCCATTTTATTTACTGTTAAGAGTGGGATCTATAATTATGGACCAGCTATCAGCAAAAGTAATGTGTTAGCACTTAGCATTAATTCTGAACACCAGAGATCAAATTTGCCAATGAATCTAAGTTTCTAATTTCAGAAAGATCTAACAGCACCATGTTATGATACCTTTATACTCGATCAAAGTAATTACTCATAAAAGAACAAGAACAGTATATCCAAAGATTTGCATTTTCTGCCCTGATAGGCAACAATGATAAATTCCACCAACCTTGCATTCAATCTGCCCCGGCCTCTCCTGGCTGTCTTCCCTTTGCTTCCCCTTCTCCTTTGTCCCCTGCTGAATAATTGACAGAAGAAGCTAACATCAGTTAAGCTTCAAAATAGAACCAATATTAAGACAACAAATGCAATGAAAACCACACCAAAGATAAAGTGACCTCCCTGTAAAACCAATAAATTGCAATCCTACTCATTGATTAGGAAAAAACGTCAACTAAAAGCATTACTTCAATGAGCATTGCAGCAGATAAAAAAGAAAGTAAATCACACCATTATCCTCTAAAAATAAGACTCATCTAGACCATACCCCCTGCAGTCAAATTTTACTAGATCGACCAAAAAAATGAACTTTGCTAACAAAGTAGCATCAATTCCGACTGCCAATCGTACCTGGATTCTTCTTCTGGAAGGGTGATTAAACTTGCAATTCGATCCAAATTTACACATCCCTGTTTTCATATAATAAGGACAATCCTGAGCATCAGGTCTTAAAGGATAATTAATCTTCCTCTTATTAATCCTATTAGCATTAAACCCTGCTTCCTTAGAATCCCCTTCATAACCATTTTCATTTTCCCCATCAATCTCATTGCCATTCCGACTTCCACTCCTGTTTTCATCACCATCCTCATCATACTGATCATAACCATATTCACCGACATATCCCCATCCATCATCATTCCCTTCAACATTTACAAGCTCATCTTCCAATTTTTCCTTGAGTTTTCCACTTTCTTCACGATCAGGTGGTGAAGATCTTGGTTTCCTCCATCCTCATCCATAACCTGGCTCAAGACCAGATTTTTAAGCTCTTCGCAGAGGGCTTGCATCGCCATCTCATCATCATCGTCACTCTCATCAGCTTTTGGCTGATTTTGATTAGGGTTTTGGAAATTGAGATCGGACGGTAACAACAATGTTTCGGAATTCTGAGACTCAATCCCTAATTCTTCAGTTTGATCTGATGATTGATTGTGATTTTGATTTTGAATTTGGTGTTGTTCAATTGCTTCCATTGTTGTTGCTCTGCATTTCAATCAGTAAAAACCCTAATTGAGGAATTCAGCAAAGTGAGTGTGTTTGAATGGGACAGTGGCTAATGAGTCAAAATAAATAGTACATCACGTATTTGTACTTGTTTGTTCTTCGCCTTTGCGTTAATTTTTCTGGTTTCCTCTTTTATTCTTTTAAATTAATTATTTTTTAGTAAAATTATTCTTTTATTTATTAGTAGTACTTTTTAAAAATTATGTCAAATCAAATTATAAATAAATAAAAATGAACTAAGAAGGTGTTAATTTAATGTGAACTTCATCAATCTCTTACATTAATAAAGAAAAGTACTCTAAGTAACATTTATTGTGTACAAAAGTTGTCAAAGCAAACTGAGTATTTATTGGACTCGCATGAATTTTGTACAAAATGTTTGTTAAGGGATAATATATTTATTACACGTATCCATGTTTTTTTTTGGCAAAAAATATAAGAATGTTTTATATTTCGTAAAATTTAATATAACCTTTTATGAAATAATCTCTCTATTTTATATTACATGTAAATTTTTTCTTCATAGCTTCCTTAAAAATATATAAATAAGAAGACCATTTTTACTAATTTACATTCTAATATATTTTACTTATGTGTCTTATCCATCAATATTAAGATTAATAATGAAAGAATTTTTTTGAAACTTTATGAGTAATATTTGTGCAGGCAACCAATATACTATTTATATGTTTAAAAAAAATTGACTACAAAACATAATTTTTTTAATTAATTCTACCTTAATTTTATAAATTAATAAGTAATTTGGAATAAATATTCTTAATAATGTGGACAAATTGGAGGGAGTACTTATTAAAGAATTTGTTTGAATTGACTTATTTTAAATGTTTTTAAGTTAAAATAAATTTTAAGCGCTTTCATTATCTTCTGGTTTATAAACTTAATTGAGAGATCAATAGAAGCACATTTTGATGAAAAGTGCAATCAGTGAGTTTTTTTTACTTTAAATACAGATATAAATATGGAATCCATTAAGATGTTAAGCATTTAGTAAGGCTTTTGAATTTCTTAAAAATAGTAGTATGTGACTTGGTATATATATATATTACATTTAAAATTGTCATACTGCAACTAATGAGTTTATTGGCCTAAAACATGAAAAAGATTCTTCAACCACTTTACAGAGAGGCAATTGGTAAGAAAGGCATTTTTTGCACATATCGCACAGCATGTTGTTATTTGTTATATATATATATATATATACATACTGTGTAGCACTGTAGTGGATGAAAAATCACATTTACACAATGAGTTGCAAGAAAATCGAGTATATGATCTCTTGTACACACTTACAATCTGAATTTAAAAAAATCTATGAAGATCTCATGTTATTTTATAGATCATTTGGTGTTCTTTTTATAATAAAATCTCTGGTTGAAAATATCATAAAATAACATTTTTAATGGACTACGATACTAAATATCCCAAAAATCAAACTCAATGGTGTTTAGCAAGTTATCAATAGCTGGTGTAGATATATTCAGAGTAAACCGGCTAATCTAGTGCACAATACATTCAATATAATCCGACAAGTGAAATATGAGGAAGGTAGAGAGTACACATCTTACCCCCCTTGGGAGGTAGAGATGTTTTCGATAGACACTCGACTCAAGGAAAAAACAATCAAAAAAATAATAACGGAAGTGAAGAAATCATGGCAAAATACCAAGAAAACATGACAGTGCATTCTGAAAAAAAGGTTATAAATGTAGAAAATTAATGACTGAATTCTTTGATCTAGTCTAAGACTCTAGGTGAAGATGAGCATGTTTAGATCTGTTCCACAAGTAAATATTGTATGATGATGTTGCTAGGACTTCACTAAATAAGATTGAACTTTTAGTCCCTCTATCTGTAACACAAAAGTAAAGTAGGAAACACATAAAATAAAAGAGCATAACCAAGAGTCCAATCCTGCAGCAACTGAACAAGAGAATGAAAAAAATAGAAGAATCCACTTCCACATTTCAATTTCAAATGTTAAATTCCTTGATTTTGGAAATAATTCTTACAGGATTGAAGCAATTGAACTACTTCAAATCAATGAATGGGGCCAATGAGGTACCTTGACTGAGGAGAGTTATCTGGTACCAAGAAAGACTTACAAAACGAAACTTGAACCTACACCTACCCCTATGTCTGTTAACTGGACAGTTCCATCAGTCATGTCAAATTACAATTTGCTTCCGTAGTCAACTTCTTCCCTTCTTCGAAACGTGACCTGTCTTCCTCTTGTGACGACTGAAATCTGACACAAAACGAAATGTCTGGCCACAGCCAGTCTCAGTGCAAGCATAAGGACGTGCACCTGTATGAACTCTTATGTGTTCAGTTCGAGCCCATGCCCACTTAAAAGTCATCTTGCAGCCCTTCCAAGGGCATTTCAGAGGACGGTCGTCCATATGAACCCGTCGATGCTGTACCAAATACTTGTGTGAGAAGAACTTCTTCTTGCACCCTTCCACAGGACAGACATTCTTTTTATGCAATGTAAGCTCCTGCTTTGAGCTAAAACTCATACTGCACCCTTCCAAGTCACAATGATACTCTCCTTCCTCCCTCATCCTTTTACCTATATTACTTCTAGGACCCTTCGTTACTGGTTCTTTCTTTGCATTGCTATTTGCAGAAGGAAGTTTGACCTTGGGACCTTTCTTGCTTTCGTGCTGCTTAGTTGGAGCTGGTTTGGCCTTCACCAACTTGGCGGGCGACTCGTTGCTCGGTTTTGGAATCCTTTTCCTCAGACGGGTGCTAGGCCCACCATCTGGATCATCATCAATGAATGAGCCAAATATCTTCTTCTTATCAACATCCTTTTGAGGTTCAGGAGTCTCATATTTAATCCTCTTACTCCTAAGATTAGTTTTCCGGTGCTGCTGAAGAATACTACTAAGTAAAGAATCATCATGATCATCTGCTATTATTAATTGAGCATTCGAAGCATTCCTACTTACTGCTGTACTACTCCTCTTTTTTCCAGTCTTGCAAGCTGTAGCGACAGTTTTACCAGTCGGAGTCCTTTCACGTGGTCTCTCAGACTTCACCTCAATCTTAATCTGGGCTGAGATGCTTTTGTTCTGTTCTTGTCCTTCATCAATAGTCCTCTCAGCAAGCAGAGGATGAACCTGACTAGACATCCAGACTTTACCACACCATTTCCCAGCAACAATTGCTCTCTTCTGCTTCCCTGACCCTCTCCCAGTATACTCTGATTTTTCTGGGGTATTATCTGGAGAATTACGACCAAATGCATTGTATATAATGAAGTTATAAGGCATCTGCTTACTATAGAGAGGAGAACGGCTTAGATTGGCACTGTAGAAGAGGTTGATGTCTAATTTCACAGTCCAATCCCCATTGCCATGTATAGCTTCTTCAATTTCCAAAGCTGATTGTATCATTTCCTCATCATCTTTAGTGGCCTCGCGGAATGAAATCTCTCTCCAGAAATGATCACTCCCCAACTCTTCAGCCACTTGTTTAGCTTGAGCTTCTAGCTTGGGATAGTCTGCCAATATCTCAAGATGTGTCAAGGATATGCAAAAGAATCATACCAAGTGATTGAACCACAAGATCAGAATAATTGGGTGATACCAATACTATCGCTACATGAATACATAAAATAAGAAGCAGTTTTTCTCCCAATCTTACCTTTCATGGTGCCAGAGTACAATTATAAATCACTTGGATGTTTTCAGTCACACAGTCTTGTATATTTCTCAAAACTACCTAATGAAGTCTATCAGTAACCTTTTCTTTCCTAGAGAATAGTAGCAGTTACACATCATCATTAAAATCATGATTGAAAAATATGAAAACAAATCAGTTATCTCATTTAACAGATAATTATTAATAAATACTCAGGTGCAACTGGGACCAAAACTCTGTTTTTCTCCCTAGACGAACATTGGATAGCCTTGCCTTACGAAAAGCTTGTTGCAGCAAGAGTAAGCTGTTTAGTCAGAAACCAAATTAGAGCTCACCTGGATGACAAAGAAGAGAAATACGTGCTCCACCAATTCGACGGAGCTGTTCTTCTACTTGTACAGCATGCTGGAGACAGAATACATGTATTCTGAAAGAGTCTTCATCAGATGTTGAAGTAAATTGCATACGTGCATGATCAAATGGAGCAACAGCATTGTTTTGTGCTATTTCTCCTATATTGGAAATACACTTTGCAGCGACTTGATGGGATCTTGGTTGATGGCTTGACCTACCTAACAAAGTATTTGATTCCCCTGATGGGTAACTTTCATTCTCCAACTGAACGGAATTGTCAATTTTTTGACAGTTTCTACCTTGAGATACAGCTCTTTTTTGTCTGTGGTTTCCGTAAGGATCAATAACTCGGAGAAAAACCTCATCCTCAGAATCTGTATGTCTGCTTTCACAAGCTTCAACAGGAATATCTGCTTCAACCTCGTCTTCATCAGAATCTGACGAATTGGCATAAGCTAAAGCCAACAGGCCGAGGGAAGAAGTTTCTTTGTGTGCTTTGGTCCTTGAAAACCCTTCTACACTTCCATTATTCAATTTCTGAATTCGATCAGATGACTCTACTGGGACATCAATCAAGGCAGGAGCCCTTTTAACAAACCGTCCTGCAATCAACACATAAAGCATAACCATAACTTGTCCTGCCAACCAGATATGTGAGTAAAAAAAAAAAGACAGGATTTAAAACATTAGGAATTGCATAATTTGCGACAGATCATTTCATAAAGAAAATACCAGAACTGGAATCCGATTCTGCAGCATTTGGGTCCCTACCAGTAGCAGTTACGCCACTTACACTTCCTGTCCAGTCATGGAAATTACTATAATCAGATGACATCAAATGATGAGCAGCTACTTCTGTTGGTCGAATTATGGCCACACACGTATAACATAGGATCCCACAAGTTGCACAAGAAAAAAGTCCTTGCTCCGACAGTGTATCGCATTTGTAAGTCATTCCTCTTGCAGTGTCCAGGTTCACCCTTTCGGTGTCTGGAGAAGATTGGGCATCATCCTTTCTGCCAGAGTCTGGCAGTCTG